TTTTCAGTTGATCTTCTGGAATCCTAATTAAGTATAGTTTATATTTTGCTTACATTCCCATCGCTTTCGGATATCTTTTGCAGAAGCAAGGTGGGTGATCTGCAAGTGACATAACAAGAAAAATATACTGTTTGATGATTTTTTATTGTTATTGTAGATTTTATTAATCTGACATCTAATTTTGTTAAATGAAAAATAATTGGAAAAACAAAAATTACGTATTGCCAAAAAGAGCACTTAAAGAAATTGTAATCTCATTGCAACCGCTAGGTTGGTTGCAAATCTGTTTTGATCAAAGCCCTTTTAGGGTTAGGGATCATTCCACCACAGATTTTCTTACAGATGCCTTTTCTAGCAGGCAATACATTCACCATTGCTCTTGCTACGCTCCACCATTGATGCAAATGGAGGTTATGATTCTGTAGCAGTGATAAAACCAATTAACTTATGGTTTGACCCACAGGATGTAAAATTTGATCCGACTTGGTGTATCAGGTCAAGTGAGTTTTTTTTCCCTCTATTTTTCTTAAATAGATAAATTCTTATTTTATATTTTATGTCTCAAATCACGAATCAATCCATGAGATAAGTCGAGGTTAACAAAATATAAAATCAATAAACATAAAATTAGACCTATATATATAAAACTTGATTTGAATTGCAATCTAGTTATAAGTTTGAAAAGTCTAATCAAATTAACTAGATTGAGCTACAATTTTTTTAAAAAAAAAACCAAAATAACATTATTTTAAGGGATTGAAAGTCAGGTTTTGATGTCTATCAAGTCATCTGAGTTTTAATCTTTCTTTATTTTTCTTAAAATTAGATTGATATATGTCTTGAGTTTCATTTTCGGGTGAGTCACGAATCGAACCCACAAGCAAAGGTTTTACTGCCATAGTAGCATGGCCATGATGGTGATCCTGGGTCTGGAGGCAATGGGTCCAATTATCAATCCTGAGCTAATTAAGGAGGAGCTGGACCTGGAAGATGCATTAGCCTCAGCACAAACCCTACCAGATGTGGCCTATGGAAGTGATATTCCAGCTCCAGAGAACCTCTGGCGCCTTTCACATATGGTCCAGTTTCGAACTGCTGGTTCTCTCATGCCCATAAACCTTGCCTGAATTGAATTGTATCTTTTCTTATCGGTCCATAAACCTTGCCTTGGCATTTTGAAATCAAATTACATTAATAGAAAAGAAAGGCTCTCACAAAATATATTTGATATTGCGGCCACTGTTGTTGTAGTTATGATTTGAAAAAAATTATTTTATAAAAAATATTTTTAATTAAAACTAGTTTAAAAAAATAAATATTTAGTTAAAACTGTAGTTGAAATTAAAGTTAAAAAAAATAGTTTAATATACTTGGTTAACAATGCTTTTGAATTTAAGATTATAAAATAATTTTAAAAAATATATATTAATATTGATGATTTTAAATTTAAATATTGTAAAATTAATTACTCCTATTACATCATGAAATAAATAATACTTTTATATAAAATATTATTTATTATTTCATTAAACTATTTATAATTTCATTACGTACAAAATTCATCCGATAAGGACTATAGGTTCCATGATTTTTTGAGCATGCAATAAAATTAGGTAAAATATCATCAGAAATAAAATCAAAATTACGATCAACTTTCACAAATGCTACGTCATCATGCGATATTCTTTTAATTTATGTAGTGTTATTAAATAATATTAAACATTAGTTTTTTGAGTAAAATATAATTTTAAAAAAATTAAATTTTTTTTACCGAGTTGGATACGATACAATAAATTTTACTCACATGAATAGTATAAGGTGAATGCAGTGCAGGTGAATTATAATTTACTTATAATTCACTTAAGCATGTTCACTTCTTGAGTGAACAGTGTTAAGGTGAATTTAATTCACTTGATATGGCATGGGCAATATTATAAACAATGCCCATATAAATAAATAAAAGCAAATGAAGAGAAGCAGCTCCCAGCTGCTTTTACAAAACCCCGGTTTGATAAAAAAATTTATGGAGCTCACCAAATAAAAACCTGCTTTTTTTATATTACCAAACATTTAGTTTATACGATGAGCTTTAAAAACAGAAACTATTACGTAAACAAACACCCTCTTGATCTAAAGCTCTTGCAAACCAAGTTTCTGACCCTTAAGCACCATCCTACCCGGTCTTCAATGGCAGAACAATTGACAAATACGATGCATGAAGCCACAACTTGCAAAGGATTGTATGGGTCTTAAATAATTTCATTTTAAAAAAAATTGTAACAATAAATTAAAAATACTAGCAAATAGCATGGTTTAAAATAGAATTTGTGAAATAACACCCTTTGAGCCTTTCATGATTCTAAATAACAACATCTTACTCTATCATGAAATTAAATCCTATCCTTTTTTTTTAAGTTGTGTTTTTTAAAGAAGTTGTGATTGAAAACATGATATTTGATTTTATATTATGATTTTTTTATATTGTATTTTGAAATTGCAATAAATACAAGTTATGCTATCCCACTAAAAAATTTTATAGTAGTGTTATTTGCTAAAATTTTAAATTTTTTATGCTAAAAATAAAAAATAATTAAATAATTTAACCACCTACTCTTCATAGGAGTTAAGAGACGTTAAGTAACCATCTCAATCCAATAACTTATAAAATTTTAGTTTTAAGATATAATTTATATTATTTTCTAATACATTCTTTCAAGTGAAAGTCATTTGAGTTTGAAACTTGCATAGATATATATTACTTTATATTTAATTTTTATCAAATGAATAAGTATTATGATATTGAAACTCATGACTACTTGATCATTAAAGTTGTGATAACATATTAAAAAATTATTTTAATCTAATAATTTAAACTATTAAATAAAATTTTATAATATAATTTATATTATTTTCTAAAAAATAACAATTGCACACAGGAAATTTTTTGAATGAATATTCACACCAATCTTGATTGTTTTTAATCTCCAAGGGGGCATGCTCGAGAGAACTCATTGCAGCATAATAAGGAGCTAGAATTAATAGGTTAAATAACTATAGTATAAGTCGTAATTAAAAAATAATAATTTGAGGATAAAATTGACATAAAAGAATAGTTTGGGTATAAAGTTGATACTCCATTGGTAGTATGGGAATATATGTGTTTGCCCAGTAATAAAAGAAAGAACCAAAATCTTTTTCCCCATTTGTTTCTAATCAAAAGATGGGAATACTCTTTTGTACGAGAGAGTTTGAGAATTAGATCCTATCTGGGAGAGTACGTGGTAGCTTTTGTCCTTGATAAGTTTCAATTAAATATTTTTTTATAAAAAATATCAAATTAATATTGTTTTAGTAATATTTTTTTAAGATTTGGATAGATTAATATTAAAAAATTAAACACATAGTATGCTTGCCTGGCCCTGATTCTATCCTCGGATTGCCTGTGCTGTACTCATGGAATAGTATTAGACATGGGAGGCATAAAAAAAAAGAAGAAATCTGCTTCGATTCTCTTACACTTGAATAAAGTGCAAGAGAGTATTATTTCAATTTATTAATTAAAATCCACATCAAAGACAAGTTCTAATGGTTTGGAATAAAGGATATATATATATAT